GAAAGAGAAAAAGGAAAAAAAAAAGCCACCATGTAGGAACGAGAGAGATCACTAGATTTGGTCGGCACATCAGTTGACATCTGCAACTTACTCACCACTAAGCTTCACAAACAAACAACATGGCCCCCTTCCCTAAACCCTCTCCTCTTTCTCATTGGTCAGAAAATTACATACACACATACATATATATGTATGTATGTATGTATGTATGTATGTATGTATGTATGTATACACACACTTAGGTTTTAGGGGATAGATGTGATGTAACACGCACGTAGAGCGGTAGAAGAATGGTAAAACTCACAAACAAATATAAAAAATAAAAAAAAGGAAAGAATTATAAATTAAACACCACTTTTGGCCATTATGTATGGCCCCTACTCTTTTAATCCAATAATAATTATTTAAATAATTAATTAATTCATCAATTTTACCATCACATTCACCACATTCTGGGTGCTTAAGTTCGAAGTTTTTCTTCTTATGAAGACCCGCATGATCGATTGTTTTTTTTTAATTATTTTTTTGGTAACTAAGAAATTCATTGGAGCTTCGATCTAACTATATCTTCTACGATCCAGAGGTAGTCTATCTACCGCAATTAAATTGGACACCTCTACTCCAGCTGGCAGCTAGAACAGGGATACTCATTCCCTCTCGATCAACTACACCACTTGATTATAACCTCTTGAGTTATTTATTTATTTATTTATTATTATTATTATTATTGTTGTTGTTATTTATCATTCATCAATTTTTTTTTCAATTACCATATACATTTCCACATACATAATAAAATTACGTTTTTGTCTTAAATTAATCCCTATCCTTTCTTGTTAGGCCAATCATGAGTTTTCCAACCCATGGGTTTTTAGTTAGATAAATATAATGATATTTTTGTTTGTACCGTTTCATAGAAATTGTTGTTGCAGCATCCATACAAAGTTTTCTATTCGTTTCATAATTAATGATTTTATTTTTAAAAAACATAACGAAAGTATTTATAAGATCTTTATTTATAAATCAACTTTAAGAATCTAGTATTTATTTTGACACGGAATATTCCAAACTTTGGAGGCACTTCCTCTCGCTTCTATCCTCTCTAGGGATATTTCTACTAGGAAAGAAAATATATACATTCTAATTTGTGTCCATTTGATTCTTTATATATTGATATCAATTATGGACCGCAATATAAAAGCAAGTTCTGTATCAATAATGTCACGAAATTCTATTTTTAATTTCTCAACCGTATATGCAAAAAAGAAAGAATTAAACCATATGATATGGTGATGAAAAGAGCATACTCACAAAGCCCATTGACGTGTGTGATTAGGTGAATTTCAACTATATACTTTTTCTTTTGCTTTTGGAAAAAGGCGATTTAGGAAAACTGAGTTTTCAAGGCCGAGCGAGACTTTGCATGCTTCTGAATTCGCTCTACTTTCAATAAAAACATCCAATTTATTTATTTATTTATGAATAAATTCCATTTAAATTTCTGAATTTGTAAAATAATGGAAAAACTCATTCTTAAACTTTTGCTTGATAATTTTATTTTCAAACTTACAAAATGTGTTATTATAATTATAAAACTTGTTAATTGATATAAGAAGAAATTTTAATGATGTTGATCCACACATCTATTTATTGAATTATAATGACATATTTTACAAGTTTGAAAATAAAATTGTCAAGCAAAAAATTTAGAAATTAGTTTTCTATCATTTTATAAGTTCAGAAATTTTAATGGAATTTACCCTTTATTATTTATTTCGCATGTTTTTTTATCAGATCTTTTGGTCTTAAGATTTTTCATTAATTTAAAAAAACATTAAAAATTTTGAAGTGAATGTGTGTTGTTTGGACATCCAAGCCAACATTTTCTTTCAACTTGACATGTTTTGACAAAGCAAAAAGATCAGATATCTAATAAAATACAAGTATTTTAATATTCTAATATATAGATTTGGTGCCCCAAACTTAGCAAAAGTGCAAATGCAATGGACCCCCCACCCTCTCCACAATTGAAAACACTCAAAAGAGATTTATTACACACAACACCATTCATTCATCATGCAATACTCTCTCCTCCATTGTTGAATCTTTATCCTTCTATAAATACACACATGTAACAATAGACATCACCCTCCAAGATTCAAGAAAACCCCACTCCACTCCAAGACAATTGAAAAATCCCCTTTTCAAATCTCTCTCTCTCTCTCTCTCTCTCTCTCTCTCCCATGGCTCCTGCGCCTCTCTCACCCATCAAAGTAGGGCATATCGAGGATGTTCAAGAACTTCAAAAATCCAAACCGAACAAAGTTCCCGAGAGATTCATTAGAGAAGGAAACGAGAGACCAGCGTTTGTGATATCTCAAGAGTCGGCTTCAAGTGATATTCCTGTAATCGATCTCTCCAATTTCTCCAGTCCTGGCTTAGATGATTTTCTTTCAGAGACTCTTCGTCTCTCTCATGCTTGTGAGGAGTGGGGATTTTTCCAGGTAATTTTCACCAAAACTTATAGTGAAAACTGTTAATTCTCTTTTTCTTTTCTTTTTTTGGTTGATAAAAGGCGTTTTTTTACATTGGATTTTGGGTTTAAGACAATCTTAAATATTGAAGTATTTGTCTCCAATAAATTATCATTTAACTGTACGTACTCAATATTAAGATTTTGGAGGTTTGATTTGCCAATATAGTTAAATCTATCATTGTTATATTTTTATTTTGTTCTCCTAGCTATGTGTATATATATATATATATAATATTCGTATCTCTTTAATTCTTTACAACTATCATTTTTAATTCTTGATTAATCCGTGGACTTATGCGAACAAAATTTATTTTGTTACAATGATGATGTAAATCTTGGATTTTATATATTCCTTTAGTTTAAAATATAGATGTTTATTCTCGAGGGAGATGGATGCTTAAATATATGCACCATGCACTAAGAGCTTGTCTTTGTCATATTTTCCTCTCTCTCTCTCTCTCTCTATATATATATATATATGTATATATATATAATATGTGACATATATTCTTCTTCCACTTCTTCTTTTCTTGCCTCTTTGTCACCAAATTTCAGTTGGAATAAACACATTATTTTATTAATTTTACTAAATTCACGGCAGTTAATCGAAGTGAATTAATAATGATAATGGCAGGTAATAAACCATGGGATTGAAATGGAAGTGATAGAGGAAATGGAGAAAGCGGCGAAGGAGTTTTTCGGAATGCCATTGGAGGAGAAGCAGAAGTATCCAATGGAACCGGGGACCGTACAAGGGTACGGACAAGCTTTCATCTTCTCCGAGGATCAGAAACTGGATTGGTGCAACATGTTTGCCCTTGGCCTCCACCCTCCCTCTATCCGAAACCCTAAACTCTGGCCTACCAAACCGGTCCGGTTCAGGTACTTTTCCGAAACCCTAAACTCTGGCCTACCAAACCGGTCCGGTTCAGATGCTTTCTTAATCAATTATCTTTAGGGTTTTGTAATAATAGTATTATACACCCTTTTTTCTCATTTTTTTTTCCACCATTTTCTTCATAGCAAAATATAGATTAGAAAAATATATCTAGATTTATTTAGTGTAACGAAATAATCGTTAATAACCATGAAATTTTTAGGGTTTTTTCCCATTTCATTTCTTCTATACGGTAAGTTTTTTTATGGATAAAAATAATGAGTTATAATATTTTTCTGTGTAAAAAATTAATTCTTTTAGATTAAGGTGATAGAGGGGATTTTAATAATAACTTTAATTTAATAAGTTTTCATCTATAAAAAAAATAAACTAATGTTAAAATCCGAAAGTCGAAATTACACGTACTATATAATAATTTATTTTTTTGTTAATACTATACCCTTTTCCTCTTTTTTTTTCCCCGCCATTTTCGTTACAGTGAAGCTCTGGAGAAGTACTCGAGAGAGGTAAGGAAACTGTGCGAGGGGCTGTTGAGGAACATAGCGAGAAGCCTGGGTGTGAAGGAAGGGAGATTCGAGGAGATATTCGGGGAGGCGGTCCAAGCGGTGAGGATGAACTATTACCCGCCATGTTCGAGGCCCGATCTCGTCTTGGGACTCAGCCCACATTCCGACGGGAGTGCCCTCACCGTCCTTCAACAGAGCAGAGACAGCTGCGTTGGCCTTCAGATCCTCAAGGACAGCATGTGGGTCCCTTTCCAACCCCTTCCCAATGCTCTTGTCATCAACGTTGGCGATACCATCGAGGTAAATACCAATAATATATATGTTACTTGTGATCGATTTAATCACAAATTTATTTGAATCTTTCCAAATTTGTAACGATTTCAAATTGTTGCCAAATGGATCTAAGTCTACTATTCCCTCTCCTTTTCACTCTCACTTGTGTACTTTCTATATTATTCTAACCGCAGCGTCTATCGTTCTACGTTTTATATATCTAAAAAATTTTAAACGTTTTTATATAATTTCTCATCTATAATTACTACTGATAATTTCTCTCTTATACTCTTATTTTGAATTTTATATATATATATAAAGATTTTCTTGTACTTTTAAAAAATGTATTATGAAAGTAATCAGAGTTCATCAATTCATGCTTTTCAAGTAATTCTCCGTTTCAATTAAATATAAATAGCAAAGTGGTAGGTTGGTGGACTGTTAAAATAATCACTATTAATGGAGTGTTTTCGGCTAAAGACATAATGATTGAAATGTTAGGTTTAGATTTGGCTACATATATATATATATATATATATATATGTGAATACATCGAAGATTTATAAAATCTAAGCAGGTTTCTTTTAGTGCTTGTTGCTTAACTTATTTATTATATATAAATTCCCAAAGATCCCATATCTATCTTGATCAAAACTTAAACCCCATTATTCTATATTAAAAAAGGGAAGGAAATGAGAAAGATATGTATGTATATGTGTATGTATAGGTGCTAACAAATGGGAAGTACAAGAGTGTGGAGCATAGGGCAGTGACACACAGGGAAAGGGACAGGATGACAATAGTGACATTCTATGCGCCAAGCTATGAGGTTGAGGTTGGGCCAATGGCTGAGTTTGTTGATGATGAGACCAACCCATGCAAGTATAGAAGGTACAATCATGGGGAGTACAGTCACCACTATGTCTCCAACAAGCTTCAAGGCAAGAAGTCTCTTGATTTTGCAAAGATTTCCACCATTTAATTAGAGATATATATATTTTAATTCCCCCTTTTTTTTCTAGTTTTGTATATCTAATTAGTGTTCCCCACCTAGGGTTTTAGTGCTATATATGATTAAGTTTTCACCCTTGTGAACACAACTTGAGATCTCCACTCAAGTAGTCTTGGTGCATATATATATATATATAATATGTGAATGGTTCAGTATATGTTTATATATGTATGAAAAGAATAAAGTTGTGTATATCAACTTCATTAGCTATGTTAAATTTCATTGTCATCATTACTCATCACAAACAAACCTCTTATTATGAATTTGAATCTTTTGGCAAGTTTCATATAATTAATCCTATTTGTATAAAAATCTAAAACCAGGTTTTGATAAAAATGTAATTTGTTATGAAATCAAAAGAAAAATTGATCACACATTAGATCATAAATTGGAATCGGAAGTCAAGCGTTTAGGAGATTGGAGAATAAAATTTCTCTTAATCTATTATATCTTAAATTTTGTGTTTACAATATCACAAATGACCTATTTATAGAAAATCTGAAATTACATCATAAATATTTTATTTATAACATAATTTACATTTTAAAAGGATCTTAGATTACTCATGGTAAAACTATTGTTTATCTAATGCTAATATTATAATTGACTATGAGATCACTTTAGTAATCTAGACAAAAGAATTGCACATGATAGAAAATCATGGTGTAAATGTGAAGGATTTACAAATTCCTTCTACCACACACACACACACACACACACACATATATATATATATATATATATATGGAACAATGTCTTTATTCAAGAAATGGAAACGGAGGAAGAAGAAACAGACAAAATAGAGAAGAAGGTTCAATTTCATGATTGTCCATGAAGAACGCAAGTAAAAGTTTGTACTAAATTCTTTAACTAAAGGAATGGAGTTACACGTCATCAAGTGGGAAAACCACGAGAGCAAATAAAAAATATCATTTTCAAATGGCTCAACCTAAGATTAAAAAAAAAAGATTATTTTAAACAAAAAGCAAAATGTCAATAATCACTCAATCCCTTTGTTGGAAAAAGGATTGGCACATTTGTGATCGATTCAAATATGGAGAGAGAGAGAGAGAGAGAGAGAGAGAGAGAGAGATGAACGATGCAGAAGCAGCATGAGAAGGAGATAATTTTGGCGATATAACGGTGAAAACTTTGAAATTAAAAAGTGAAAAGATAGAAAAATTGAGTTAAAACTAAAAATCCTAAAATTCTATAAATATACCCAAAAGCTATGGACACATTTTATAATTTACTCCTAAATCAAATCTGATGGACAAATATTTTTTTCTCATAAAAATTTGTTGTTAGAATTAGTAATTTGTATTTTTAAGGACTGAAATTATACAAAAAAATATTTTAAGATATGAAATTTATCATTATAAAATTGTCTTATTTCTTTTATTTTCCATTCTTTGTTTCAAATAAAATTTTGACTCAATCAATATGTTTTGGCTACTATGTACATTCTTTGATTATAAAAATTCTCGTCGGATCGTTAAATCCAAAAAAAAAACATGAGTTCAGATGTTAGATTGTATAAAAAAGGGTATTTTAGAAAATTCATCACACAGAGAAATACATATATACACATACAGATATGGAATGTGTGCGTGTATATATGTGTGCTTGTATATAAGCATAAAATTTATGCAATAAAATCAAAAGACAAACACCAATAACAGTTTCACTTCAGTAACTACACAAGATAGTGCAAAAAGTGATTGGATTTGGTCTTCACCCATTCATTCATTCATAGAGTTACTGAGTACATCACCAGAGTGTTCATGGGGGAAATGCCGCAATGTGTATTTGCGTTTATGATCATATAGAGTGATTTAACACAAGGCTCGGCCAAAGAGCCCGGGCCTAAGGCTTCTGAGCGGCGAACATGATGAACGAGCTACGGACGTCGTCGCTGTAGTTGGTGAGACCGCAAGAAGTGCACACATCTTTGATCTCGTCCCGCAATAGGTAGTTGTAGTTTTGGAGAATTCTCTGCCGCTCTGCAACTCTTTCTTTGGGTAAAGAGTGCCTTTCTGTGTAGAAGTAAAGCTAAATTCGCCTCGGGTACCCGAGCCCTCGGGCACTCGATGCCCATGGGGCCGAGACCGAATAGTCTGGCCAAGAAATCCGAGGGGGTAGGTGAGGCCGAGGTCAGGTAAGCCAGAAAAACTTGGATATCCGACCCGTGTCCACTCCTCTCACCGGTGGATAAAGTTTCTCGGTAAAATGCATAGTTTACCTCTCTGAAGGGCCGAATGAACCATGGCGTGGAAGCATTGTATCTGAGAAAGGTTGTCCCGACAAAGACGCCGCCGCTTCTTAGAACACGGCTGATTTCAGCAATCTGATAAAGGTATTCGATCCGTTAGTCTCACTATTTATATGAATCTGCAAAAAAAACTTGTGAACAAGATGAAACAAAGAGGTTGGTCATGGAATATTGAATCCGGAAATCAGAATTCTACCAACATTTTCTATCAGTTCCGCAAATTCTTAAACTTGAAGAATCAAACAGATTAGATAGCCGAAAAATATCAAGAACCACCGTGAAAACGAATTGGGTTTGGCCACAAACGTGAAAATCTGCAATCTTTTCGTCGTTTTTCAGATTAAGAATCGAGAAAAAACGGAACTTACAGCATTGGTAGGAGATGGCCAGCAGTGCAAAGCAGCACCGGCATGAACTGCGTCAACAGAACCGGATGGAAAGGGAAGCCTCGACACATCCGCTCTTACGAGAGCAAGATTTCTGCATATACCCGTGAGAGGAAACGGATAACTAAAACCGAGTAAAAAAACCATCTTCTGATCTTAGATACCGATGGCTTTCAAAATCGAACAACTTACGTCGAGCTGAGAGTATTATCCTGTTTGATGAAATCGTTACACTGACGAAGCATGTTTTCAGAAAAATCAAGTGCGACCACGGCCGAGTATTTTCCAGATTTTGCGAATTTCCGGGAAAACAAACCACTTCCACAACTAACATCTACCAAGAGGCCGCCTTCAGCAGATCTGAAGTATTCCTGAGCCATTCTAAACTGCAAGCGTTTCGAAAGCTTTTCTTAGCGAAAGATCCGACCTAACTGAAAGAAAGAACAGGAAAGTAAAATCCGTCCAATCCCGCCTCGGATCAAACCAAGTCAGTATAAGATTACCTCTTCATCCGGACCAGGAAATCCACTTCGATTAAAATTTTGACGCCATCCCCTTTCGTATAAAAACGAGACCAGTGGACTCCTACACGGAAGCAAACATTAGGACACGATGAGACAAGCAACTAATGCTCTTCACCAGACAAGGCAGATACAGATACAGACAGGGGAGCCAAAGTTTCTCGAAACTAAATGCTCAGATTCTTGAATGTTTTTTCAGTGGAAACAGATCGAAGTATTTATACCGAAAGAGCTCTGTTGTGATCGGTTTGACCTCATCAAAGTTGCCCGAATCAGCAGTCACTGTAAGATCCAAATACCCATCTTTGCTCGAGTACGTCTTCTCGCACTCCCTGCACTTGAATCCGGACCTGTAGATTGCTTGCCTGAAGATTTCAAACACCAGAAATAGTCAAAAGCATATGAACATAAAAAGGAAAATGAATATCAGATCATGTGTTACACCAAAAAGTATGAACTTACAGGTTAATACCTGGAGGTCCTTTCCTCACAAGTGGTTCATAGCATACAGGACATGCAAAGATATCAGTTTCCAGAGTTTGAGTTTTGGGTGTGATCAATGCCTGAAAACAAGAACCCTAATCATAAATGCTTGAATTCCATTGTTCCACTTGTACGGAATTTTCCCCAGAAAGCCGATGATGGGACGAATTTCAACCAATACTGAATCTAATGAACCCTAATTACCAAATCAAATCAATCCAAGCCCTGGAAATGAGGAATATCTCCGGCCCAGAAATGCTTAGGATCCGTTGTCTCAGTTATACATGATTTGCCCAGAAACCAATAAGAGGGCTAATTAAACTACACTGAGTCTGATTAAACCCTAAATACCAAATAAAATTAATCCGAGTATGCTTCCCCTTCGAATTTTCCTGCCACTACAAACTTTCTTAGCAACCAAACAGAGCCATGCCCGTGTAAATTCCCTAATTTCCCGAGAAAATTTACATGAGAGAAAGAAATCGCAACACTAATCACGAGATTCGCAGGAAGAAACCCAGATTCAGAAATAGAGCTAACCGGTTCGACAGCAACGGCCACTCGCGCGACAGTAGAACGTAAACAGAGGGGAACAGAGGACGAAGAAGAGGAGAATCGGAGTGGACGAAACTGTGAAGAACGAAAAAAGCGTGGATGTTTCGGTAGTAGGGACTTATTCAGATGAATTGTAGAAGAAGAAGAAGCCACTGCCATTGGAGCTTTAGAGCCCGAGCTCGAGAGGTCAACCACAAACCACAAACGTAAAGGGTCGTAGGGAAGTCAGTTCAATTTATACGGCACCTTTTTACGAAGAGAGAAAAAAAAGGGTTTTTGTAGTTCGATTTTTAAAAAAAAAACTTTTTTTATGGGAGCTGAAGCGCGAAGAAGGGAAGATTCTGCGTCGTGCATTGATGCGGGATGACGACGACACAGGGAAAATGTGTGTATGTATCGATGATGGTTTCATATGTTTACGTGTATAGATGCGGGATCACACACTTCACGTTTGCAGACGATTAGGTCCCTTTCTTCTTCCTCTTTTTTTTTCTACTTTAAATTATCATTTTATGTGTCTAATTTTTTTTTCAGTATTTTTATTTTTCCAATTACAATCACAACTCTTATTCAATAAAATATCTCAATGAATAGAGTGGTCTGGTTTTGATATTACATATATTATAATTTTACGGTGGTCAATCAAAACTTGAAAGTGATACAATAGAATATATATATATATATATATATATATATATATATATGTATGTGTTGTGTGTGTGTGTTTATGAATGAAAATTTTATTTTTATTTATTCTATATTAAAAAAGGGAAGGAAATGAGAAAGATATGTATGTATATGTGTATGTATAGGTGCTAACAAATGGGAAGTACAAGAGTGTGGAGCATAGGGCAGTGACACACAGGGAAAGGGACGATTTCAGTTATCTTTATTGGATAATATATATATATATATATATATATATATATATATATAAGTAGATTCTATATTCACGTTGGATTCCCCTATAAAATTATTATGGAATTGTATTATAGAACGAGAGAAAGTGGACAATTTTTTTTGTATTATTCACCCAACAAATCAAGATATTATTTGTTCATGACGCAACTGTAGGTGGAGGATGGAGACTTGGTAACAGTTTGCAATAATGCGGACAAATCGAATGGAATTGCATCATTGTATTCGAATTTAAATACATTTTTTTAATATGGATTTGGTTGTAAGTTTTAAAATCAAATTCAAAGGTGAATAAAAAATAATTTTAAAATGAATGAAAACGAATACTAGAAGGGAATAGTTTTAAATAGAGAAAATTTATTATATAGGTGATTTTATTTTACAAGTAAACTTTTAATTTTTAATTTTTTAAATATTACAGTTTTTTTTAATTTGATACTTCAAATATTTAAAATGTTACAAATGAATATCTTTAACTTATAAAATCGATGAAAATTTTCGACCTCGACGACTCTGACGACGATATATAAATTAAACGTTAATTTCTAAAATAAAAAACACATCGACATTATAAAAAGTTCTCGGTTTCATAAGTTGGGATATTAATTTAAAATTTTTCAACATTTGAGATATTAATTTGAAATATTTTTTTTTAAAATTTAGGTAATTATTTAGCATATTTTGCAAAGTTGGGTAAACTTATATAAGATTTTTCCGTTTTAATAAAATCGAATTCGCATCGAATTTAGATAAAATCGGAGTCGAATTTTTTGGGGGTGGAATTGTGACATAACATGTGTTATGTGACTTTGGCTTTGCTCCTAGACAACAGTTTTCTACAACTGACACGATGTTTTAACCCAAGGGCAATAAATATATTTTGTTTCATGCAATATATTCGCATTTTTATTTTTGTCAATTTGTCTAATCGTGTCCGAATATATTGATTTTCATGATTGATGGGTCTTTAACCTTTTTAGCTATCAAATAAACTATATTTAATCATATTTTGTCTTATAATTTTTTTTGTACGTTATTTATTAAGTTTGTGGCTTCGATTTTGGTTAAATATAAAAATAACACTAAACCAAATCAAATAATATATAAATCGTATTCATATAGAATTAGAATTAAATACATAAAAATTGAGAATTCTAAATGAGTAATCTTTTTCGGAGAATGGTTTGGTTTTACAAACATGGTTGAGTAATGGGTCCTTAAGTTTTTGGGCCGAGAAGGTGTGTTTATGGGTTACATTGGCCCATTAACAAAGTAAAAGTATGAACAATGTAAATGAAAATTAACATGCTATTGAAGTGAAAATATTGGATTATGAAAATAGTAAAATGAACAATACTTCTGTTTTTTATACAAATATAGAAAGTTATTTTTTTCTAATTTAAAAAAAATCGATATCGATCTCCAATCAAAATATATGCTCTTTTTATTTTTCACATACTAAAAACTTTTTTATATAATAAATATTAAATTCAGAGTTTATTTGAATATTAAAAAAAAGTTTATAGATTTTTATTTTCAATTTTGATAATTCAATTTTTTTAAAGGTACAAAAGATGTAAAATCACTATTTTTGTATTAATAAAGAATTAGGTATCCAAAGTAATAATTAAAACTCATAACCTTTTATTTTATTTATTTACTTTTTATATAGGATAATCCAAGATGGAATTCGAACTCGGATAAAGAGCAAACCAAGTTAAAATGTTATTTTCGTATGTTTCATAACCGATATATTTTATCTCTTCGCGATAATGATCGAAATACATCGGTTTTTTACAACAATTTCCTATCGGGTTTAAATTTGTATCGTCTTTGTTTGGAGTTATTGTTAGTTTTCTACTAAATTTCGACTGTGATACTCTGTTTGGATAGAAAAATGATATAAAACCAAATGTATGATTTCTCCCGTTTGATTTGGAAGACTCGGTGTTAAAGATTCTTCATGGCTAGAGGTTATCCGTTATAGAGTTTAATTTGTGTTCTTTGTATATGATTTTCCAAAATAATTTTAAAATTATTTATGAATTATTAAAATGATCTTATTGGTACTTCTCGTCAGCTCAAAGATGTATTAGAAATAATATTGAATTTCGTTTAAATTTGTTTTTCCGGTCTCTTCATTTTTTTTAATCGGTATTTCTCCCATCACGATATTTCAAAGATATGATCTATACACCAAATTTTGTCCAAAGCTTTTTTTTTAACTAACAATATATATATATATATATATATATATATATATATATATGTTCATAAACATGAAGAATTCGTATAGATGGTTTAACATCTTTGTCCATCAATTAGAGGTTAGGGGTTCGAATCCTATTTCAGAAATGAAACAATCGTTTAGACCCGTTGTTTACCGTTTAGTGTGTTAACATATGGACGAACGATGATTAGTTTTAAAGGTCAGGATTCATAATTAAATGTCATTCAAAACATCTTGTGTTCTATCCAAATATATATATATATATATATATATATAAATGAAGGGGTTTCAATTGATTTCTCTTTTCAAATTGGGTCCAAGGAGAACGGTGACCCACGTCGGGGAAAAGGTGGGTCGAAGTTGGTCGGGGAATTGACAGAGGAGGGGCCTTCAAATCTCACAGTGTAAGGTATGTTATATAGCATTTCTTCTAATTTGGTCGGCATTCAAATTTCAATACCATGTGATTCATCTCCTTCTTGTCTTATTTCCACGTTAGTTACCGTCCACAAATATAATTTACCGAATTGATATCTAATAAATATTCTTTAAAAATAATATATACATATATATATATATATATATGACAAAAGGGAAAACATGTGATTCGTGTTTTTTACTCTAGTGACCTCCATTTATTTCGTACGTAATGATTTAAGATTGTGTTTCATGATTTATAAATGAATTGTTTGGTATATTATATATAATGTGTTTTCCCATTTATATGTGATCGAAATATATAAATGTACTTATATATATGTATAATTTAGAAATATCCATATACCGTAATTCAATATTCAGATTAAAATTTTATAAAAAAATAGATTAAAATGTTATCTTATTAGATCTGCGGAAACAAAAGATTCAAACCGTTGACAACTCCTCGAATATTTTTATAATATGTTTTTCCTTTTAGTTATTTTATGTGGACCAAAGAGTCCGGCTACTTTTGAACACAAAACATAATTAGGAGGGAGTTTTTTTTTCTTCTTACATTTGATAATTTTCCTTCTCTCTATTTCATATATACATAAATTTAATCCAAAATGAGGAAATAGGCATATATATATATATATAAGATGTTGTATTCGAAATAACCAATCAAATAAAATCGAGATTAAATCCGAGTCTATTATCGTGATGGGTTTTGTACTAAGCGAATCAAACACCATTGGCCTAAAAAATTTATTCTAATATGCATTCGGAAATTAGATTTCTGGTCTTTAAAGTCTAGAAAGGGATAAAAAAAATATTATACGGGAAAATTAGTCAATTACATCGTTCTGAATAAAATAATACATATATAATTATGAATGCAATTAGTGGAGAGAGAGAGAGAGAGAGAGAGAGAGAGAGAGAGAGAGAGAGAGAGAGAGAGAGAGATGGGAGAGATGGTGAGAAATGTCAATGTAACAGGCAAGGTGACTTTTTTGACGCGTGAAAGTTGCACCGTCGTCACAACCTCCGACAACGTCGTCGTCCACGATGCCTCTCGTGCATGTCCGTCGACGGACATGCCTCGTGAATCCGTGGACCCCACCTGGCTCTATTTCTCCCGCCACGTCATCGCGGCTCATTGGTTTCCACTTGTCATGTTTACGTGCGACGTGGTTCTGTGAGTCCGGTACGTCTAAACCACACCCATAAACCGGACCCCATCGTTACGTAATTGAATCATTAAATACTAATGACGAAGATTTCATTACCCGTTCATTTTTTTGGGGGAAATATGAAAAACGTTACGATTAATTAAGTTTATGTTTACTTTTTTTTTTATCGAATTATATATGTTTAATTATTCATGCAAAGGGTTTTTATCTAGTCAGACAAAATCTCACTAATAGTTGTATATAAAACTTTTATAATACCTCTATTATTTTTGCTATATATATTTTACTATCCGCATCTTTTTTTCGTATATTTTAATATCATCAAAGTATATTTACGATGATGTGAAATGATGCAGAGATGAAGTAAGAAACGTCAATAATGCATTTGAAATATAGTAATTTCGATTTGAATATACATTTTAATGCTTCAGATTTCTTTATGATTCTATCATTCTATGTCATTCCAATATGGTTACGGGTCACTTATGACATACCGCATCATACGTTTTAATGAAATTTCAGAAAATAAGTTTAAAATGCGCAAAAAATATTAGGTATCAAGATTTTTAATTGAAATAGTTTATATATAACCATAATTGCGAATTTACCATTGTCGAAAAAAAAATCTAAATATCTTCAATGCAATAGGAATACAATCCGTACAATTTTATGTGATGGAAAAGGTTAGGTCGTTGCATGTGGCATGCACACGGCGTTCTCGTGGCCGTCACCGTCGTCTTGACACGGCATATGATCACGGTGGCCTTTGCCGCGCCTGAGCCATTGGGTCGTGGACCCTACCTGTCTTGTGTAAAAGCTGACGTGGCAATATCCCTAATTTTTCATTTATTTTTTCTGATTTAATGCCCGCAACGGCCAACTGCAATTGTTACTTTTTATTTTGGCAAATCTACGATAATGAAATTTACGTCGCGCAGTGGTCAAAATACATTCTAATAAGCTTAATTAATTGGCACATTGCATATGTCTGTATGTCATTAATACATTGTGATAAAATTAGAGGTTATTAATGATCATATTTATATAGATAATATTAATTATAATGGTTTTGTAATGCTGCGAATTAATGCTACGAACATTAAAATTGTCTCTACACGAGAGTTTTTAATGTTATAAACCACCAGTTTTTGGTTGTTTCGTTCTCAGACCGCATCGTAATGAGAGATATGACCGACTATAATACATTTATAACGTTGAATGAACGTTAAAAACATTGAAACTGGTTTTACATACCAACACAAAATCTTTCGTTGTGCTTTGTCTTCATTTACACACTTTTTGATACCCATCATAATACTATTCTAAAATCAAATGCGTTTAATTTCAGATTTTTATGGGATAGAAAAAAGAAAATGTACATAGATTAATTTTCTATATTGTTACGAATAGTTCAATATTTTTTTTTAAGTTGTTAACGATGTAGTCACGTATCTATACAACTCTCGAATATTGTCTATCTAACTTGTATGATTCATCTTCGTATCCTTCCTATATAAAATTCTACAAGAAGTCACTCTTTGTACATGTTTTTCGCACTGGCAATCACTCATCCTTCTGTTCAATACATCGCCAGTCTTATAAAAAAAATATTAAAAGTAAAGATTTTCATGCGATAATGCTAATAATTAAAACTAATTTTAGGGATATTTGAACGATGAATTCAATGTTAACTAGCATGGGAACATGTTTACATGCATATAGCTTTCCCAAAGACAATATTTAATTGTGTTACTAGCCCTAAGTTTAATACCGATTTAACATAACTTGGCAATGCCATCTCCATAGTTGTAATTCTAAGCATTTTTCCCACATTTTGTAATGAAACCAACTTATATCGGTTGTCAGTATTCATCTTACAATATGAATTTCGGAATATCAATCGATCAAATAATTAAACAAATCCATAATTTTTATTTTTTGGAAGAGGGGTATTACAAATGACTAAATGGTCGGATGATTTCTATTGATATGTAATTCAAGTATCGGTAGGAAGTAAAAGTGCATGCATGCGAAGACAAAAATGGAGTTAAGGTATATTATTTTATAAATTCTTTTAAGAATATTATGATCAAGATCTAATAGCATAATGGTTCGGTTCGTTATTTGGGTACCATTGTCATGACCTGTCGGTGGATATTTCGGTTATCAATTATATTTATTTTTTGTTTTGTTTGTTGTTAAATTTATATATAAGGTTCGTGTTATGGAGTTTGATTAGTTTAGTTTTAGAAAAACTATACATAATTGGTTTTTATATGAATTCCATTTATAACATGTATTATTCCGTTGGATCGTTTTGTATATAGGAAACGAAATTGCATTCCTATTAATTGAATACTACTAAAAAAACATTATTTTAAGATTATATGTAGTACAAAAAAAAACGGGTGATTGCAACGAGTCATAAAATAGGGCAAAGGACGTGCATGCGGATGATTCAAAAGAGGTTCTTATTTTAAGATTTGAAAAAATTTATAGTACGTATTCTCGACAAATGTATACAAACATATACGTACATATACACTATATATGTATGTATATATGTATGTATGACAAAGATGGCATGGAGACCCGTCTTGAATAGTTCATGTCGGGAAAACTAGTAAGCGGGCCCATTTCCATGTCTACGCACAGTCACTCCATACATGACACATTCATATATACATGTGCTCTATATTTGTATATATGTATATATATATATATGCACACATATATAAAAGCACATAAGAGGCGAGAAAGAGAGTGCAGGAACTCCATTCATACCATAGAACAATTCTATTATTTATCTACTGCAAATATATATAAAAAAACCAAATATTTTCTTTACCCATAAAGTTTAAAAGCTTTCGTACCTTGGAATATAACCGGAGCCATGAGGATCGTCATCTTCTTCATCCTTGCGTCTCTTCTCGTCTCTAACGTTTCAGGTATGTACATTTGTGTGTATGTGTGTGTATATATATATATAATATATATATATATATATATATATATATATATATATATATATATATATGAGTTTAATATTTTGTATGACAATGAATAAGTGAATAACCATAGATTAAACTTGTCCCTTTTTCGATTTTCATATCAGGAATCCGCTTGGATGCAGGGTTCAAATCCTCGGTCGGAGAAACAGCCGTAAATATATATATATATATATATATTATCTCTGCTAATTAATTTCAAGTCTCTTTCCTTTTCATATATGAATATTTGAACTTTTATAGTACAACTAATCTTTGAAACCTAGCTAGTTGTGTAAATTAATGACCTAGGGTTGCAAGTTGTAATTAGGTTTACGTAATATCCAACAAACCAAACTAATCCGGTATGATATCTAAATCTATCACATCTTTATAATATTATATATATATATAATATGTAATTATTTAAATTATAGAGGGTTTATGTGAACATGAGCGTGTTACTACAAAAAGTTATGTCTATTCGGAGACGTATTTTCTTCCAACCAAGTTTTTAGGAATATAATATTTTGAATTTAGAACTTGGAATGTAGTGAGTATTGAGGGGATATATATAATATTTATTTGTATCTAATTGATTCAAGATATTTTATGTTCTAAATTTTAAATATTACCGATATTCTATTTTATTTCATTATATTCAGTTGAGTGCAAATAAAAAACCTCCGAATATTTGTTCGGATTGGATATGGATAGAAAATAAAAATCCAAATATCGGATCCATTTTTATTATAGAATGTTGTATATTATAATTATAAAACAAATCAGCATGTCGTGAATTAGGGTTTAATGACATGAAATTGTGTATATATAGCAGGGATCGGTGAAAGATTCTTCAGAGAACGACGTCGTTGAAGCTCTGACTCGTCGGAGTTTGGCTGCCAAAGAGCATTACGTTGACAATTCTGAAATTTCCGTGATGGATTATTCTCCGGCAAGACGAAAATCTCCAATCCATAACTGAGAAATCAATAGCTCCTATATATACACTCACCACTATATCTATATATATATATGATTTTTATAACACGTTCATGTAATTATGAGGCGAAATAAAAAAAAATACAGTGTTTTCTATATCATGCGAATCTCAAACAAACTATGATATTTCTGATAACATAATTTAATCTGAATCGCCATAAAATTTAGTATTCTATATTATCCTTCACAATTAATATCGTAGTTTTATCCTCTCTTTTTTTTGTAAGAGATATTCATAGATTTATCATTTAATTTTGTTAGGGGTATTATAAAATTGTTGAGTTATAAATGTTGGTATAGTATTCGTTTCAAATATCTCCACTCAAGAGTTTTTTTGGGGGTTGGGTATCCTAGATCAAGGTCTAGACTAATGGGGGTCCGTAAGTCAGTCAGGTGATTTAGAATATACGTTATATCCCTAAATTTGAGGTTCGAACTCAGAGCGGGATCGACGCTTTACACCCTCGTTTCACCGGTTGAACTAGTCAAGTTTGGGTTCACTCAAGAGTTATCATAGTTCAACCGGTGAAATAGGGGCGCAAAGCGTATGTCCCACCCCGAGTTTGAACCCTAGACTCCCTTCCGATACCGTGATTAGTCTGGACCTCGACTCAGGATACCCGGTTCAAAAAAAAAATGTTAATTTTTATTCTAAAAGGTTAATATAACAACGTTTAATGACTGGAATGTTGACTTAATTAATTAATTAATCAAATTTTATTTGTGGGTTTCGAAGTTAGAAGATGAACACCACATACACACATGCATATGTATATATATATGTATATGTATATGTATATATATACATATAGTTGACGGAAACACCGTACAGCTCTCGAGTGTTAAAATTCATGCACATGCATATGTATATGTATATATATATGTATATGTATATGTATATGTATATCTATGTATATATATATATATGTGTGTATATACACATATAGTGGACGGAAACACCATACAACTCTCGAGTGTTAAAATTCATACACATGTATAAATATGTTTGGAACCAATCTCAAAACTAAAGGACTATAAATCTAATAATTAATACATAATAATATATATATAAGCCTAAGATATAAATTATATCAACTATAATTTTTTTATAACGAGAAAAAATATCTAGATCGGTAACGATTAGGTGAAAAGTTTAATATAATTGAGATTCATATTATTCTTTATAGAATGGATATAAACCTATTTGGAGAATAAACTAATAGTTTAAATGAATAAAAAAAGATTAAATCATGCATCATGAAATAAGTCATAATTAATCTAAAATAGTAATCACTATATGTTTCCCAAAGAAAAAAAAACTTTTTGTCATTATTTAGAAGGAGATTGAAAGAGTGAGACATAAAAAGGGAAATTATTAATTGGGACCATTATGTCTCCCAAATTGATTGGGATTTTGGGTAAGCAGCTTTCATGTGTGTGGGCTCTCAATGTGTTTTTTTTTTTAAATGTTTTTTTTTTGGAATCTTGTCCATCTTGTATTCTCTCTTATGGTCCATTTTCAAACCAAACTCCCTCTTTGTCCTTTCTACGCACATGACATCTATTGATGACACTTTGTTCAAACCATATACATTGTAATTTCCATGCAAAATACATATTACACATGTGTTTAGGGGTGAGCGTTTCGGAAAACGGTTCGGATTCGGGACGGGAATGAATCGGTTCGGTTCTTTCGGTTTTACAAAAATAGGTATCATTCGATTTTTATATTGTATTCGGTTCGGTTCGTTTTCGGTATCGGTTCGATTCGGTTCTGGGGTTTATTAAAAAAAAGATAGATTTCTTTTTAAAATATTCGGTTTTTCGGAATTTTCCAGTTCGGTTCGGTTCCGGAAAAATTCGGTTCTCTAAAAATGGTACCGTTCGGGAATTAAGAACGGTTTCGGATCGAAAAAAATACCGTTTTTTCAGTTCGGTTCGGTCCGGTTCCGAAGAACCGAACCGAAACACCGAGTCCTACATGTGCTCATCATAAATAACAAAAATAATTCTAAGTTAACTCGAATAGTTCAATCGGTAAAACAAGAGCATTTAATATTTGTCTCACATCAAATTCGAATATCAAATTTAGGAAGAGATATTTATATAGGTTTCTCCGATTTTCAGAATTAGTCAGGATTTCAATTTAAAATACTTAATTACTAAAAAAACAAAAAAACACATTATATATATATATATATATACATACACATTCACATATAGATATATATTGGATATAGTGCTTATCTTTTACCCATGAAACTTTCTACTTTTGAGTTGAATTTAAATCCTAAATCTTATGATTTTTGGTTGATATCAAAGTCACTTGACTTAATAATAATAATGATGATGATGAAGATCCGTGGGCTTGTGTTAGATTGGGCCAAGTTCATATCATAAAATATTGGAACTATAAACAGGCCTAGGCCCAAGTAGTGTGGCCCAAACCTAAAACGAAACCAGTCTGAAAACCCTAATTTTATATAAGATTAGGGTTTCTCAGAATAAAACTTCCACTCGCTGCCTCTGTGTCGCATCTCTCGTTCTTCCTAAGCCTCAAGCTTCACCCGAGAGCAACCAGCCATGGCCGAGCAGGTGTGTTATCGTCGAATCTGGATCATTTATTTTCTGGGTTCACTTCATCTTCTTCATTTATAGTGGTCGATCTCAATTTCATAACTGTTCCCTTGGCTTATGGTTATTGCAGACCGAGAAGGCTTTCTTGAAGCAACCCAAGGTTTTCCTATGGTAATATAACAGAAAAAAGAGATTTTTGTTTTGTTTTGTTTTGTTTTGTGTGTTTATTGTTTCTGGGTTTGTCTGCTTCGTGCCAAAAGTGTTTTCCTTTAGTTCAATTTTAATGTTTGATTATGGTTTTTGTTCTGTCAGCTCGAAGAAAACCGGGAAGGGGAAGAGACCCGGAAAGGGTGGAAACCGCTTCTGGAAAAATGTCGGCCTAGGTTTCAAGACCCCTCGTGAAGCCATTGAAGGTCTGGTTTTACTCTATGCCTTAACTGATCCACAACGTTTTGTTATATCTAATGTTCACTTGGTTTTTATCGGTGTGATAGTTTGATTGTACTTTAGGAGGAAGAGGAACCGTAGGATCTGTTTACTAATATGGTTTATATCAGTATAGGCGCTTTACCTTTTTGTGCTCAGGAATCAGAATCAATTATTGTTTTTTATGGTTGATTCATGATCTGTCATATTTATTCTCAAGTTTTGTTTTTTCTGTTTTATGAGATCAATTTATAGAAACGGGTAGATCGTGATCTCTGATGTGAAGCAATGTTTCCATATTCATGTTGTCTATTCCAATGTTGGTATAGCTACATATAGTGATGTCTCTATTTTTGTATTAGTTTACTGAGAACTGGTGGAATATGCTCTTGATCTACTTGAGTTTATCGTGTGTTATTGCCGCTGTATTACTGTCTAAGTTTAGATATGGTATGACTACTACTTTGGTCGATGACACAGTTCGTATAGATTTTAGTTTCTATATTAGAGGTTAGCCAGTGGTTCTATTATATATGGGTTGAGTCTAGTGATCACATGAAGATGTCTATTCTGTAGTTTATATGTGTTGATAACGTTTATTTCGTTTTGATTCAGGAACATTCATCGACAAGAAGTGCCCATTCACTGGACCTGTTTCGGTTAGAGGCCGTATATTGGCTGGTACTTGCCACAGCGCCAAGATGCAGAGGACCATCATTGTCCGGAGGAATTACCTTCACTTTGTGAGGAAATACCAGAGGTATTTTCTGGACTTTCAAAAGTTTTATGTAATTTTGATTCACATACGTATCAAGAACATCTAATTATACGTTGTTACAATTCTGCCCTTCACCGTCAGGTATGAGAAGAGGCACTCCAACATCCCTGCCCACGTCTCTCCGTGCTTCCGTGTCAAGGAAGGAGACCATGTCATCGTCGGCCAATGCAGGTACAGTTTCTCTTTGACTCTCTCAGATATATCGTTAATATGATGTCGGCTTAGGCAATTTACCTTCTTGTGCTCAAGATCAATGATTGTTCAACTTGTTGTATCCTGCTTAAAGCTGTAAAATTTACTCCAAAGCTTTGGTTTTTCCGTGTTATGAGGCAAATTTATAGAGAAGGGTAGATCCTGATCTTTGGTTTGGAACAATGTTTCTACATTTGTGCTGTCTAATGACTCTAATCTAATGTTTCCCTATAAGTCATACCGATTTCTTTGTGATCTTGACTCAGGCCATTGTCAAAGACGGTTAGGTTCAACGTGCTGAAGGTGATCCCGGCCGGTTCATCTGCTGGTGGAAAGAAGGCGTTCACCGGGATGTAAGAGTTCGGTTCAAGTAGAGTGCTTTGGACAGAGCTGAATGCAATTCTTCTTCTAGTACTGTTTTAAGTTTTGTATAAGACAACTTTTTTTTAAAAAAATGTTTTGCTGCACCCATTTTGTTTAATTCGTGAAGTTGGACGAAATCTACAATTTTTTCCCAGCCTTCACGCTTTCCTTGTGTTGGGTTTAATCTTCATCACAGTGCGACTACGGAACATGATATAGACTGCAACTCTCTGGTCGAGTTTTCAGCTCTTTGCTTGATGACTCAAATCAGATTCACGCTCGATGAATCGATTCATCTTTTGGTATTAATCTCGATCTTTGACGACATTGAGCTATAGGGTTATTTCGGGATGCTGCCATGGCCATATCTTAGCGGTAAGGTCACCAGTGTAGACGCCATTGGCGACTTTCGTGAGATCTCTCAGCAATTTTACGACAAGTACAGATATTTTGGTGAAGTGTGCGGTCGTGAGTTCGAACACGGCATCTAAATGTTAAGAATTTTGATTGATTGTCTAAATTTGGTTTTAGTCAGGCGGCACAGCAAAAAAAAAAAAAAAAAAAAAAAAAAAAACTTGAACATTCCTTATGAAACTTCCCAGAACCATGACTGATCACGAATCGGGTTGGTTGTTCTTTGGACTATTTAACCACCGATTTCTCGCAAACCCATCTATCCCTCTCGAGAAAAGCTGCAAATCTTTCCTTCCCCGTGAAGTTTTCGATCGTTGCAGACCAGAAGCTATCAAAATTTCCCGATTTCCGGTCCGAGCGAATTCGTCTCTGTTTCGTTTTGATCCATCATCTTCTTCTTCAATAGCATTTCTCGTGCAGTGTTCGTGCCTCGAATCCATTGGATTGGAGTGATCGATGATGCAAACAAGATCCATAACCCTACCTCCGGCGTTTTCCATATTCCCGACCTTGAACCCACCTCACAAAACCTTCACTTTCCATCAAATCTGCGTTCTAATCATCACTTTCTTAGCATATGCCTCGTTTCACGCCTCCCGCAAACCACCCAGCATCGTCAAGAGCGTGCTCGGACCATCGGTCAGATCCAACTCGTCCTCTCCGGACAGCGAGGGATGGGCTCCGTTCAACGGAAGCGAGGGGACTCGGCGACTCGGCGAACTCGATCTAGCTTTCCTTTCGTCTTATGCACTGGGAATGTACTTTGCAGGACACGTCGGCGATAGGATCGATTTGAGGATCTTTCTCGTGTTCGGAATGATGGGTAGTGGAATTTTCACTCTGGTTTTCGGATTAGGGTTTTGGTTCGATGTGCATTTGCTCGGATACTATCTTATTGTTCAGATTGTGTGTGGACTGTTCCAATCCATTGGCTGGCCTTGTGTTGTTGCTGTGGTCGGGAACTGGTGCGGTAAAGAGAAGCGTGGCCTGGTAATGGGCGTGTGGAATTCGCATACCTCGGTAGGTAATATCGTCGGCTCGGTTATAGCCTCGTCGGTTTTAGGGTTCGGTTGGGGATGGTCATTCGTATTGCCCGGTTTTCTAGTGATTGCATCTGGTTTTCTCGTGTTTTCATGCCTCGTCGTTAGCCCTCGGGATTTAGGGTTTGAGGAACCGGGTAAGGAGATCGAGTTGAGTGTGGAGGAGAACGGAGAGGGAGTTTCGAGAAAATCAGAGGCGGAGGATACGAATCTTCTCGAAACGCCTGAAGATTCGGACTCGTCTCTCGTAGCTATCGGGTTTTTGGAGGCGTGGAGATTGCCCGGAGTTGCGCCTTTCGCGTTCTGCCTGTTTTTCTCGAAACTCGTCGCTTACACATTCCTCTACTGGTTGCCATACTACTTAAGGCATACAGGTAAAAGAAAACAAAAGCTCGCGCTCGCCCGAGCATTTCCGTTGCTTATTTTGGGGTCGGGGAATGTAATTGTGTTACCAAAGTTCGAAACTTTGCATACCCGACTAATGTTTTCCGGGCATTTTTTTTATTGAGAAGTCGTTACCAGGTTTTCGCATCAATGAGTAATCATCTTCCTTGTCTCGGTTTAAAACAGCTGTTGCAGGTGTTCATTTGTCGCACAAGACAGCCGGGATTCTCTCCACAATATTCGACATCGGAGGAGTGTTCGGGGGAATATCCGCCGGATTTATCTCCGACAAGATCCAAGCCCGGGCACTCACCTCGATCACATTCTTGTCACTCTCGATCCCAGCCCTCGTTTTATACCGAATCTATGGGAGTGTCTCCATGTTCACAAACATCGCCTTGATGTTCATTTCGGGATTGCTAGTAAACGGGCCATATGCCCTAATAACCACGGCCGTTGCAGCCGATCTCGGGACACAGGACTCGATCAAAGGGAGCAACCGAGCGTTGGCCACGGTGACAGCGATCATAGACGGCACCGGCTCTATAGGAGCGGCTCTCGGACCGCTTCTAGCCGGTTATATCTCTAGCCGAGGATGGAACAGCGTTTTCTTCATGCTCATTGTTTCGGTTTTCTTTGCGGCTTTGTTCTTGGTTAGGCTTGCAAAGGCTGAGATCAAAGAGAGGACTAGTTCCAGATAAACTGTTATATTGTACACAAGAGAACTGAAAACCGATGTAAAAACATTGCAGTTTTGGTGAGAACACAGGATTTGTATTGTTTTCTCGAGCTTTATACTCGATCTTCGGAAGCTGAACTTCGAGAAGAGATTTACGAGAAAAACCCGAGCTAAGATTCTGATGAACAGACAATGGAAGAAGGCAAAAAACCTGTGATTTCATCAGATCGTATGGATATCAGCCGTTTGCTGGGCAAGTTTCACCACCATAGCCTCGTCGGAAAACTTGTTTGTCCTCACATCTTCGCTCATTCCCTGCAAGCAAACGTTTCCACAACGCGATAAACACCGGGTTTACAGATCGTGGGTATAACGAATCAACGATATGAATCCGGAAAGGAGAGTTTTCTTGAATGGGAAAAAGGAGGTACCTTTCTACCCCGACTCTTCTCCATGAACTTGCGGGCGAGGTGCTGGACAAGAGCAGGTTCGAGTGGGCGTAACACGATGCTTTAGGCGAAAGGCTTATTCCTGTGTGTGGTACCTCAGATCGGTCTCAACCCCGGACGACTCTATCACGGATAGCAAAGCTTGAAGGCCGAAATCAAAGGAGGAAGGGGTTAAGTTACACGGAACAAGGGGCAGGTGCGAGTTGGGTACCCGAGATTTTTGGATTACCCAAATGCCTCGAGTCTCACGAGAAATTATCCAATCTCACATCGTTTTTTTTGTTGAGTATGCAAGTGAACTTCTACAAAATGGTATCTTCAATGGAAGTTGGAGGTTTTGTTTACACATAAAGACTTGGTTCCACAAATTCTTTAAGTTCTCGCCACATTCGATTCCAGGTACGGATACAGATAGGGTTGTCACAATGGGTAATCCAACCCATTTGGTTGGAACCCATTTGGATTATATAAAATAATGGGTTGGGTTGACCCAACCCATTAATAACATGATAAAAACTAAATGGATGGGTTAAAACCCATTAACCCAAATAGATTAATGCGTAGAGTTAGCAATAATGTTTAGCTGACTAATGTTAATATGTAGACTTAATAATAATGTTAAGAAGCCGAATCGCACTGAGGAGGAAAGAAAAAAGTCGAATCGCACTCAAAGAAAAAAAAACAAAATGAGTTTTTAGGTTTGAAGTTACTTGGGTTTATTTGAATATACCCATTTAATACATAAACCAAATGGGTTCAATCCATTCAACCCATTTAAATAAACTAATCCAATTGGTTAATCCATTTGATTATATTATTGGGTTGGGTTGGATAAAACCCATTTAACCCAACCCATTTGACATCCCTAGATACAGATGATACAGAGAGTGTCTAAGACGATGATTTATATGATCTTTCTTTTGAATCTTTGGAAACGTAGTTAGATCAAAGATTCCATAAAATTTTAAATTACAAAAAAAAAAATTAAATGGGTTTTGTCGCGTGGACGCGGGTTTGATCGTATTCCAAAAAAGATATGTCCGCAATTGATTAGAATTTTAAGATAAAGAAAAATAACTTTTGACCTTTAAATCAATTTTATATGAAGAAAATGTGATTTTTCTCTTCCGGAAACTGTTTATATGCTCATTAAATGGGTTTTAAATTTGGTGAAAAATAAAATAAAAAAAATCTGATGCCCATTTACTAGTGTGATAATTTGCGTGTCTTACACAAAACAAGAAACAATAACGTAGGAAATACACGTGGCACGTTTTGAATGGATGACAGGAGAGAGGGAGCTGAGTTGGCATTGCGAAGGCCCAACCCAAAACCATATTATTAGAGGCCGAACATTCAATCTCTAACTCTCTCCTATTTCCCTCGAATTCATCCAACTCTTCTTCTTCTCGATCGAGGAACAGGTACGGACCTCTCATTCTGCGTCTCTCTCATCGGATCCGATTCCAATCTTGTTTCTGTTTCGATTTTTACGAGGCTTCTCTCTTCTTCTTCCTTCCATGTATTACAATGTCGATGAGATGCCTTGGTTTTGTTTTTGCTTGTCATATAGGGTCTGCTTCTCCTCTCTGTTGCATATGGCAATGGACGTTTCCGTGATCACCAATCGCGAATCCATCGCTTCGCCTCTCGTAAGCGACCCTGTCTATCTCTTGCATTTCTCAGTCCAAATTCTCTCTTTTGATCTTTGGCCATTTAAGCTTCTTCCGTTCGTTTTGTAACTTTGTTTGATGCATTAAGTGAATTCAAAATTGCTACGAGGCGAATCCTTCTCCCGTTTTTTCCCCTTTGGGTCTTGATCCAAACTTAAGGAATTATCCCCCGTATTGTTTGCTAGTTGTATTGATTCATTTCTGTACATCCGTCTTTGATTAAGATTCGAAGCCAGACACTTTTCCCCGATAGAGACTATGTTCGAAATAGCTTTGGTCCATTGGTTGATTTTGGAATCTTTTGATCTCTAGTTCTGGACGTTCTGTTCTGTCTGATAAATGATCTTGTGGGCAGTAAACTGTAAATGATCATATGGGTGTTAAATTAATGCATTAATGTTGCAATTGGTTATTCACAGAATTTCTAGTAATTGCCATTATCATTGAATCGGAGAATCTTGATGCATCATTTCTGGGGTTGAATTCTGATGATTCTCTTGTATCCTATGTCTTAGGAGTTCTCAGTGCAACTTCATTTTGGAAAGAAAAGTTAGCTTCCCCAGTCAAAGATCTCGGAGTGTTAAGGTTAGTCGGAAGGCTAAGAAGGCTGGAGTGCAGTGGCGAACAGAGGTGAAATTGCAGTCCGTGAGATGGGGATTTCTTATGTAGCTTCCTATTCAACCAAAGAAAAGGATGCCCTTCGTGTGAAACTGGCTGATGAAGCAGTTTGCACCGGCAAGTCTCCCAGCAGCCAATCGTAAGTTTCTTTCATTTTCAATTTCAAGTTGAACTTCCTTCTGTTACTATCGTTCCATTTTATGAGTTTTCATCATTAATCTGCTAGATAAATGTCAAATATATATCATCGTCATCATCTTTAACCGTCCTGTGTTTCCTTTTAGTGATTTGTTTGTTGTTGATCACTTCACATTTCCATATTGCAATTAGGGATTGTACGTCCCTAATTTATGAGCAATGTCTGGTATCCTTAGAGCCACACTTTTAGCAGGCTGATAGAGGTCAAAATATGTTTGGTCATCTAATGCCATTCTATATGATATGTGCTAGATTCTTTGTCAGTCTTCAATCTGCTACCTGGTGGTGGGAGAAGATTTAACTCTCTAGGACTGTTAAAGTGTGTGATTGAATCTTGAAACTCACAATTCTCGCCTAAACCTTTTATGTTTTGGTGGTGGGGGACGTGGAATGTGTCTCGGTGAGGAGCCAGAGGAGTTTGTAAAGTTGCTGCAGGTATGATCATCTTGACAAAATGATCCAGAAACGATCCTGAAAAATGGGGATATGAGAAAAAAAAAATGATCTTTGCTTAGTCCTTTTTCTATGTTATGGGGAGTTTCCATGCTGCTTTTCTTTTGATTTCCTCTGTAATATCCTGTCAAATTTTCTGGTTTATTAAGTTACATCTTCTCTTGACCACAGAGACATAACCAAAAGCTTTTGGTACTGTGGAATCTCTTTTGAACGAGAGAGGTTCCTTCTATTTCATGGGAATGAACACTAGGATTCAGGTTAGATTGAAAGCTACTATGGGAAAGTTGTTGATTAATCTGCAATTTCCTCGTCGGCAACAGGATTTCAGAAATGGGAAAGTTGATAAAGCTTTCATTGTGAAGCATGAAGGGAGTTAGTCGCTGTAAGAACACCTCGCCTGATATCAAATTCCGGGTCTGGTTTTAACATATATATGGTCGAATCATAGTGTCATAATTTTCGAGTAACAGATGAGGATCTGTGATTCTAATTGGAACATACTGTGTGGATGCAGCCTGAGGATATCGTAGCAGTGAAATTCAGCTGCTGCTTAGAAGAAGCAAATGATGGGAAGTTCCATTTTTTGGTTGTCTTTTTTGTGTTTCTGTGTTAGCATTTTGCAGAGTCTTGGAATAAAATTAGGATGTTTCTGTTTGTTTCTGCCTTTTTTCACATTCTGTTTGGGAACTTTGTTCGCTGGTTTTGGTGAATCATTTGGTGTAATATGCAAAAATGTTGAACATCAAAAGAGCCCTTCATTCATGGAACCAGAGAGTGACAAACTCTAAACCCTAAAAGATAATCCCTAAAAACCCAAATGCCCAAAGCCGAAGAAACACAAAATTCAACCCACATGGAAAACCGGAAAATTTTCACTGGGTTTGATCAGAGTCAACACACGAGAAGGCGACGGAATCGTTCGGACAGATTGAAGATACCTCAGACTCCGACATCGGAAATCTCACGTCGGCACAGTGGGCAGGAGTTTTGCTTCCGAAGCCACTCGAACACACAGTCGCTGTGAAACACGTGGGAGCAGGGCAGGTGGATCAAGTTCTTGACCGAAGAACCCAGAAAATCTTGGAGACAGATGGAGCATGTCTCCGATTCCAAACCCATTTCCTTAAATCTCTTCTCATCCACCGCTCCTTCTTCCCACAGCCTCTGCAACAGATATTCAGGCGCTGCTCTTGTCGGAGTATCGGACGGTACGAGGATCAAGATTCTCTCTTGTGTCAGTTTGGCGTGAAGGTTAATGGAGAAGCTTTGAAGGCCGAAACCCATCAGCGTTGACGCCTCAGAGATCATCCAGGCCAAGTATTCGCATGCCGGAGGATTCGGGATACGATCGCAGAGGAAATCGTAGATATGTTCGTCATGATTGCACAAGAGATCCAACTTGAATCGATCTCTGGATGCATTCCAGTTCCGGACTATGGTTTCGACACCGTTTGGGAATCGAAGCCGTTCCTCTACTTCATAGTCAAGTGTCAGAAAGACTTTGGTTCTCAGCCCAAGTCGTGGAGGAATTTGAAGCACTGCAGTAAAAAGATCTACGTTGATTCGCTCATTGATATCCATGGCGACGAGAAATTGACACCCTTTTTTCCCTGGAAAATCGAAACTGACCCAGAAAACCAAATGCGGGATGAAGAACTCAGAGAACTCGGGAGCAGAGAGATAGAGCGTGACTGACGACAGAGAAATTCGTATATATAGGAGAACGTAAAAATGGTAAAATGGAAAATTTCTCAGTATTTGGAGCGTAAAAATATGACCGTTGGGAAAATTTTCCGTGAGAAAAATGGAAACGACTCTGGAAGGAGATATGGTTCGGCGGGAAAATATGACCGTTTTGACTGAGAGAGAAATGGAAAGAACCAGAGAGACTGAGGATGGAGACGGACGGACACGTGTGCTTATTGCTCGCACGCGTGTGCTCTCTTTTCCATTTTTTCTAAAGCTCACGTGCCCCGCATGTGATCTCACTTATTTTCCTTTTCTATTTTGTTTTTCTAATTTCCATTTTTTTTTATTGTGATCGCCGTTTGGCATCCACAACTACTTGTAAACCAAATTCAAAGATGATCAAAGATCAGATTTTCGATGTTTTGAAATCAGTATTTGTTTCATAAGAATGCTTAAATTTACGAATTTAAATATTTGATTTTCTGCCTGATACTTAATAATATCAGAATTATTTTTGAAAATTCCCTACAAGTAACAAAATTTCGTATGTATAGAGTATTGCTATTGTGTAAACCTAGAATCGAGACCTCGTGATTTCGAATGAACACTAAGCCGAAATGAAGATGCGATCGACATCCGGTCTTTAACGAGTTCGGTTATCGAGATAAATCTCGCACGTACGTCTCGGCCGAGGAAACTCGGTAATCCACTAGCACCGATCGAACCTACGCTTTGGCAGACTCACACAACAGATCGTGAGCTATGTCTATCAAGAGAGTTACAACAGAAGAAAGTGGCGAAAAAGAATACAGAGTTCATCAACTCTCTCTCCTTTAAAGGAAGAAGAGAATAACAAACCTAACAAACCTTCACACAAAATTATAACGTTGTCTTTCAGTACTTAACAAAACGCTCCCGTTTTGTCTCGCAACCGATCCCAAATCAAATCAGCTTCTGGTGTGATTAAACTACCAAACCGGAAACCTCTAATCAGTGTGGAGGTTCTTATCTGAGCATCATGGAGGACAAGTATGATTTTGAAATAAAATTTCTATCATGTTGTTATTGGTGAATGATTCATTTTATTATAAATTATTTCGTTTTTTCAAAAAAAAACAACCTTGAATTTTTTTCCCACATGTGAACTTTTAACTTTGATTTATATTATGGCATATGATTATTTTATTCTTTGTTTTTGTTTTAAAATGATGCTATAATGATAAAATAAGATTAGAGTGTATTAATTTAGATGATGGTAGTTTGGATTTTATTTTTATTAATGGATAGAACATTACAAGGTAGGGTAGAACTATTCCAAACATAGAAAGAAGATAAAAAACAACTTTAATTTCTGAAACATCATTGCTCGATCGTTATGAAATCATTCCGAGGCGCTTGGTCCTATAAAGAAAAACGAATATTTGAAAGGTTAAATTAGTTTATACGAAACAAATGGGAAAGAGATTAAAGATTGAGAAATGTAATAATAATGGAAAAGTAAAAAATAAAATACGTACGGGAAATGAGGTAGAAGAAGGAACACCACAAGCTTTCCGACAAGTGTTGAGACATGTAGGGGGTGTGGGGATTATGCCGAAACAACGTTTTATGCATTTCATTACACATGGAGTCTCTCCTTTCACTTCTCCTATTCCCATCATGACCATTACCATAACCATCATCATCACCATCACCATCCCCTTCATTGCTCCCTTCATCTTTCTTCTCTCTTTTTTTTTTCACTAATCTTCTTCTTCTTTTTTTTTCTTCTTCTTATTCACCCTCACACCTTTTGTCATTTGCCCTATATTACCAATCTATATATAGGAAAGTCTTTTTTCTTTGTCCTAAATAAGACTAGACGATGATATTTTTTTTATTTTCTATTTTTGGTAAAACAAATATGTACATGTTTTGTTAGATATGTTTTGCAATTAAGGAGATGCTACTTTGGTTGGATACGTAATTAAAAGAGTTGCATGTTTTGGTTGGATATCATTTGCAATTAAGGAGTTGCATGTTTGGTTAGACATATGTTTTGCAATTAATAAGAACCTGCATAAATCATTTATTTTAATTAAGATAATTATTTCAACTCTAATTTAAAAATAATAAAAATAAAAAGAATAATATATTATTATATGTATATTGAATATAATGTTTTAAAATTATTTTTTCATAGAATTTGAACTAAATAGAAAAATAAAAAAAATTAAAATTAAATTTTTTCGAAAATTAATATAAAAAATGAATATAGTTATACATTTAAAAACTGAATTAAAAAACAATCAAGTCAAAGTATATTCGAGATTCAATATACATAGGAATATATAAAGTTCTCATTGTGATGTAATTTTTCTTTTTCTTTTTTCTTTTAAATTTACAATTTCATTTCATTATTATATTTTAATTGTAATGTTTTTAATCTTACATGATTTAAGATTTGTGTAGATGTGATGTTTTTAAACTAGTTATTTTGGAGATATTTTTATTGAAAATTTTATATATAAATATTTGTTACATTATTTTTTATGATTGCATTATGATTAAAAAAATATTTTCTATTATTAAAAAATAGCACTATAAAAAATATCATCCCTTTGTTATTTTGATTTCATCACATATATTTTTTCATCGGTGATCTATATGATCCGAAATATAGTGTGATTATATATTGATCCTATTGGTCATAACAGTAAATTTACGATGTTTTAATCAAACCATTAGTGAAATATATAAGATATAAATATTAAATTATTAGTCTCATCATTACTAAATTTTAATGTTATCCTATTTTTGATATAATGATTATTAAAAAAGAAGAAGTCCGAGCCCACCTAGGGCAGACCTCAAGCGCATTACAGCGCGAATGCACCTCACGGAAACGGGTAAATCACAAAATATACCAAATCTGTCACAACAATTTCACCAATACACCCAAGATGAACAATAATTTTTTTTTTCAATTTTATACCATTTTTCCACTTAAAAAGTCCAAAATAACATTTTTTCTATATTTTTTACAATTTTATTACAACTGTTATATAACTAATATATGACTAAAAAAAGAAGTATTTATAACCATATAACAACTAAAAATCTTATAAGCAATAAGATGTATTTTTTGCCACCTCATTTAGAATCAATTGCAACTGTATTTAGAATGAATTGTAACTGTATTTAGAATCAATTGCGACGTTGCAATTATAATTATACGATTTCATTAAGGGTAATATGGTCTTTTTCGAAGAAAATTTAATGTGTTATATTTTTTTTGGTGTATCCTTAGAAATTCCTGCTACACTTTTTATATATTTGTGTGATTTAACCCACGGAAACGCCGAGTGTTTCCCGGAACCAGAGAGGTTCGACCCGAGAAGATTCGAAGGAAGCGGGCCTGCGACATATGTTCACCCACACTCGGGTATCTCTCTCTCGTTCGAGGAACAGGTACGAACCTCTCATTCCGCGTCTCTCTCCTTGGATTCGAATCCAACCTTGCGTCCGTTTTGATTTTTACGAGATTTCTCTCTTCTTCGTTCTTCCATTTATTACAATCTCGATGAGATCCCGTGGTTTTGTTTTTGTTTGTCATACAGGGTCTGCTTCTCCTCTCGACTTGAGATCCTGTCTCTCTCTCTCTTGCATTTCTCAGTTCAATCTCTGTTTTGATCTTTGCCATTAGGTTCTGCCGTTCGTTTCGGGACTTTGTTTGATGCATTGAGTGAAATCAAAATTGCTAGAGGCGAATCCGTTTCATGTTCCCCCCTTTGTGTCTTATCAAAACTTGAAATGATCCCCGTTTATTTTATAGTGTATTGATTCATTTCTTTACATCCCCTTCAAGTTTAAGATTCGGAGCCAGACACTTTTTCCGGGAAAGAGACCATGTTCGAAATAGCTTTGGCTCTAGTTCTGGATGTTCTGTCTGATAAATGCTCTTGTGAGCTGTAAACTTTAAAACGATCACTTGGGTGTTAATGCATTGATGTTGCAATTGGTTATTCACAGAATTTCTAGTAATTGCCATTATCGTTGGATCGTAGAAGCCACTGGGGTTGAATTCTGATGATTCTCTTGTATCTTATGTATGCCATTTTCTTTTCTTAGGGATCCATCCTTTAAGTACATTCCTTGATTTGGTCCATGTTGGGCTCTGTACTTCTGAAAAATGTTTGATTGCATCATAAGACTCATCCTAAAACTTTTATGGTTTCTACGCTACAGATGGTGGTGGGAGACATGGAATGCGTCTCGCTAAGGAGCCATAGGAGTTTGTGAAGTTGCTACAGGTATCACCATCTCGACTAAATATGATCCAGAGATGACCTTAAATGAATTTCTATTGTCAAGACCGAGCATATGGATGGATAGATGCTTGACTGAGGGACTGGTTCTGCATTGTCATCTCCTCCATCATTTGTAAATTTCAGAATACTTCATTTTCTTTCTATGTTAAATTCGGGTATTATACATTCTAGCGCCTGCCTCTTGTTATGCACCAAGTATCTAATTCACCCGTGCAGCGATGTATGTGAGTGAGAACATGACTACAGTCTCCCTGTCTAAATGTGATAGAAAGAGAGAGAGAGAGAGAGCTCTTTGGACCCTATTGTTTATATACATTTTTCCAAACTGTGTTACTTGGCCTATCATGCACAAAACTGAGCTTCCTCTTTAATCATTCTGCTCCTAAGTAATATAATGTCTGATTTCAGGTTCTTGCCGATATATATGGCAATGTTGTTCATTTTGGTGAGCGTGACTGCACTGCAGTATCCAGGTATCAGTTCCTCGAGATTTCTTCGCGAAACCCTGAAAAATGGTGATTATGAGAAAAGAAAAATTATCTTTGCTCAGTCCTTTTTAGATGTTATTGTTCTTATAAATTAGCTCTTCTCAGCAGTATGATCCACAACATTGTTGATTCTAAGTAATTGCTTAAATGCAAATAAATATTCCAACTCTTGAGTTCCCAGAACTTGGGAGTTTCCATGATGCTTTTCTTTTGATCTCCTCTGTAATATTCTGTCAAATTTTCGTGTTTATTTAGCCATACTATCTTCTCTTGACCACAGAGACGTAACCAAAAGCTTTGGGTACGGTGGAGTTTCTTTTGAACGAGAGAGGTTCCTTCTATTTCATGGAAATGAATTTGGGAGTTTCCATGATCCTCGACGTTTGAGGTGCTTTAATACAACTAGTTTGCGAATTGTAATCGTTCTTTCATCGTCAAAATTGTTGACTCATCTGCAATTTCCTCGTCGGTAAAAGGATTTCAGAAACGTGGAAGTTGATACGGTTTTCATTGTGAAGCACGAAGAGGAGTTAGCAGCTGCAAGTACACCCTCCCTGACATCAAATTCCGAATGTGGGTTTAATATATATATATATGGTCGAATCATAGTGATTCTAACGTTGGAATGTTCTGTGTGGAATGTGGATGCAGCCTCAAGACATCAAACTCAGCTGCTGCTGAGAAGCAAATGACGGAAAATGCCATTTTTTTGGTTAAGTCCTTTTTGTGTTTCTGTGTTAGCATTTTGCAGAGTCTCTGAACAAAAATAGGATGTTTCTGTTTTTTTTACATTCGCTTTGGGAACTTTGTCCGCTGGTTTTGTTTTGATGAGTCTCTAATGTATTTGCGATAACATAACCATTTTTATGCTTTTTTATTTTTTTTACTTTTTTTTAATGATCTATTTACAGAACATAGCCATGTATGTATGCTTGTATCTGTCAAATGTTCAACATAAAAAAAAAAGACTGTTCATTAATGGAACCAAAGGCAATTCTCAAAATTTGTATACAGAGACAGTTGAACTCTAAACCCTAAAATCTTTTGCGATAACATAACCATTTTTATGCTTTTTTATTTTTTTTACTTTTTTTTAATGATCTATTTACAGAACATAGCCATGTATGTATGCTTGTATCTGTCAAATGTTCAACATAAAAAAAAAAGACTGTTCATTAATGGAACCAAAGGCAATTCTCAAAATTTGTATACAGAGACAGTTGAACTCTAAACCCTAAAATCTCAAATGTCCAAAGCCGAAAAAACACAAAATTTAACCCACACGGAGAACTGGAAAATTTTCACTGGGTTTCATCAACACATTCGGACAGATTGCAGATTCAGCCAAACCCTAAACCCTAAACCCTAAAGATAAACCCTAAAAACCCAATTTCCAAGCCGAAGAAACACAAAGTTCAACCCACCTGGAAAACTGGAAAATTTTCATTGGGTCGGCGAAATCGTTCGGACCTCAGACTCGGACATCGGAAATCTCACGTCGGCACAGTGGGCAAGAGTTTTGCTTCCGAAGCCACTCGAACACACAGTCGCTGTGAAACACGTGGGAGCACGGCATGTGGGTCAAGTTCTTGCCCGAAGAACCCAGAAAATCTTGGAGACAGATGGAGCATGTCTCCGATTCCAAACCCATTTCCTTAAATCTCTTCTCATCCACCGTTCGTTCTTCCCACAGCCTCTGCAACAGAGATTCAGGCGCTGCTCTTGTCGGAGAATCAGATGGTACGAGGATCAAGATTCTCTCTTGGGTCAGTTTGGCGTGAAGGGTGATGGAGAAGCTTCGAGTGCCGAAACCCATCCCCGCTGACGCCTCAGAGATCACCCCGGCCAAGTATTCGCATGCCGAAGGATTTGGGATACGATCGCAGAGGAAATCGCAGATATGTTCGGCGTGATTGCACAAGAGATCCAAATTGAAGCGATGTCTCGATGAATTCCAATTCCGGACTATGGTTTCGACACCGTCTGGGAATCGAAGCACTTCCTCTATTCCACAGTCAAGTGTCAGAAAGACTTTGGCTCTCAGCCCAAGTCGTGGAGGAATTTGAAGCACAGCAGTAAAAAGATCGCCCTCGATTCGCTCTTTGATATCCATTGCGAGGAGAAATCTAAACCCTTTTTTCCTGGAAAATCGAAACTGACCCAGAAAACCAAATGCGGATGAAGAACTCAGAGAGAAATTGGAAGCAGGGAGAAGGAGCGTATGACTTATGACAGAAGAATTTGCATATATAGGAGAAGGCTAAAAATGGTAAAATGGAAAATCTCTCAGCATTTGAATCGTAAAAATATGACCGTTGGGTAATTTTCCGTCAGAAAAATGGAAACGATTGTGGAAGGAGATATGGTTTGGCGGGAAATGTGACCGTTTTGACTGTGAGAGAAATGGAAAGAACCAGAGAGACCGAGGATGGAGACGGACACGTACGCTTCTTGCTCGCACGTGTCTGCTCTTGTTTCCATTTTTCTAAAGCTCACGTGCACCGCATATGATCTCACTTATTTTCCTTTTCTATTTTCTTTTTCTAATTTCCGTTTACCTGTAAACCAAATCCAAAATCCAAAGATCAGACTTGCGATGTTTTGAAATCTGTATTTATTTTTTTTTCCTTCAAACGGAGGGGTTTAACCCTTATGAGATGAGTCTCGGCCACACAATTTCTATTGAATCTACCTGTAGAAGATTACAGATTCGAGTAGGAGAGTTGCTAATAATATGAAGACCTCTGGCAATATCTATTGCTGCTTTAGCCAACTGGTCTGCAACTGAGTTTGCTTCACGGAATATTTGTTTCACTTCCACTTGCCAATCACGATTCAAAAAGACCTGACATTGTCCCACCAGACTACGGATTCGAAAGGAAAGGTGGTGTTGAGAATTGATTAATAAAGTCGTGACCTTTGAATCTGTCTGGACTTGAATCTTACGCCATCCTCTATCCCATGCAATCTTTAGAGCATCCAGCACTCTCCAAACTTCGGCTTCAAGAGAGTTACAACTTCCCAAACTGTGTTGGAATCCATGAATCCAATTGCCAGTTGCGTCTCTAAATACACCAGCACAACTCGCTTTCCCTGTAGCATTCACACTACCATCTGTGTTCACAACAACTGTATCAAACGGTGGAGACTCCCAAGTAATGAACGTTAACCTTCTATTTCGATTATGTCCGACCACCTGCTTTTTAGACCACGCTTTCTGACATGTGGGATATCGAAAAATGGATTCTCATTGGCGATGAATTCAAAATCGATTTCGAAACCCGCACCATACGAATTCGAAAATCGAACAACGTAAAATCTCGGCTGCACTTCATTCATATGGAAGTGTCAATCACATGAACTCATTGGACACGTAAAAACAAACAAATCCATGTTTCTTCGGTGTAAACGCACACATACCTCAACGAGGCGAACAGTAGATGAAATAAAATACACAAAGAACTTCTAAACTTCCTACCAAATTCTCCGCACAAAACAGAAGAAAAGGCAAAGAAGATCAAACCGAAGAAGCTGCTGCGGTCCGGACATCTATGGGGTCCCCATCTCGGGGCCTGCACCTTTCGTCTTGAAATCTGATAGAAGAACGATGAATTGTCCCACGAATCCCCGTCTCACACTGTTAAAAGGATGAACTTGTCGTGAAAATGCACTCTCTAAGATTGATTCACGTAGAGGACGGGAACAAGGCCGGCCATTTTTCCGTCTCTGCCTGGGCGCTTCTTCTTTACCTGCAGATAGAGTACAAAACCGATTTATCGGTATAATAGGTAATGGAGTTTTGTGTGGATGAGGGAAGGTTTAGTTTTCGGGTACTTACATAAAACCATCCATCAACTTCATATTCTATTTCCACTTCTTCTCCCGCTGTCAAGTTCAGCTGCAATAAATCGAAACGAGCATATTCTTATATCATACTTTTTACACATCCATGGCTTTAAACTGATTTGCAAAAGGAAAAATCGATTCGCCAAACAAATTTGAATTATAATGCCAACCAATCTATTGCATCTATGATCTTTGTTCATCCTAGTACTGAATTCCCAGGGGATTAAAGGAACAGTTTGGAGAAAGTTGAAACACCGGAAGATGAGGTTTCACTGAAACAACTTCTGAAGCCAAAAGGAAAACCGTGCTTTACCTCATCATCTCCACCAGCTGTGAAGTCATAGAGCGCCGATCCAAATTTTGTACCAGTACCACTACTAGTAGTTGTAGTTTCTTCTTCATCATCTGATCCATAATTTCCAGAACCGGTTCCTGCTAAGGGATTCTCAAATGATTCATACCCTTGTGCGTCAGAATATGAGTATGGTGGAGGAGGCTCTTCTCTAATCTGAAGGAGGAGAAAAGAAGAAAGAATAAGTACTGGTAATTATAATTGTCCAGCCAACCCTTAATAAACAGCAACAAAAGCGGTAAAGAAAATCGGCTCTTACCGGAGAACTATAGCCCTCAAATGTTGATGAGTATCTGTTTCCACCCGATTTTTCCTATTTTCAGTACATGGGCCAAACAGTAGGAATATGTCATAACTTGCATTAAACCGCATTTACAGGAAATATAAACCAGGAGCAGTACGCTAGCATGTACAGCATACCGTGGCTTGTGAGCCCCGCGAACTGAATAATGATGGATAGTTCATTCCACCAAAGTGAGAGGACATACTACTTTCCATTGATCCAATTGAATCTGGAGAAGAAGATCCGGATGACCTCCCATCTTCCTGACAATGCAAAAAAATTACACTTTAGCTTAATCAGAATTAGTTCATTCCGGCTGTTACAAGATTCCTTCAAAAAGAATGAAGCTAACCCTGTACCTCTAATTCTGAAGTTTCAAGAAGAGTCTTTGCCCACATGTCGTCATAGCCAACCGAAGGTCTAGAAATAGCATTCTCATCGTCGACATCTGGTGCATCGGTTCCAACTCCAGCAAGGAATTCATTGACCTATGAAATGTCGCAGCTCATGAGATACCACTGGAAAAATCAAAACTAGCTCACATTTCTCATAAAAGATATAAGAATAAAAAAACCAGATAGATCAGAACCAAACACTGAGTTTTATGTTCTGGTGAACTTCAACTAACGAATCACATACCAAACTCTAATAGTATTTGAATGATTGTAGATACAACCTAGGAGGGCCATATCTACTTAAATTAGTTAAGCCGACGTCACAACTCTAATAAGACGATGACCAGTCCCATAAGAATTACTTATTCGCATACGGACATGAACTAACCCTGCTCATTGCTGGGGCATTGTTTCCAAGCAGACCATCATCACCAAGGTTTGCAGCCCAAGCATTCACTAAATCATCATCTAGGCCACTAGAAATCGAGGCAGCAGGAGCAGGCTTGGTAGACTCATATATAAGCTCTGAAATTCCGGTAGCAACAGCTGGGTCATTTAATCCAGTAGATGCACTGATATTGTGTTTTGAGCGGTACTTGTCAATGAGCTTTGCACTTCAGGGTATACAAAAAAAATAAAAGAGAAGCATCTATCAGTCTTTTTATATGAAACAGAAATGGAGCGTGAGAAGAATGTAATAACTATAATGAAACACACGAGAAAGAAAACCAAGAAAGCCAGCCCCAATAAAAAATGAAATTATCAAACTGGAAATGAAACAGAAAAACCATAGAACAGCAGAGATTTACCTTATTGGACCCAGAGGCAAGTACTTGGCCCTTGGAACATAGCAAAACAAGGAAACAAGATCCAGCAGCCTCTCATGAGTTTCATATAGTTTTTTCAGCTCCTCGTCTGTCCATTCTTTGTTGGTGTTATCATGATTACGTATTTCCCTGATTATTCATGAAAAATCACATGATATACTGCCCATAAATTCATATATGAATTAATCATAACAGAAAGAGGTATTCACTCACTTGATTAATTCATCTTGTGCTGCATACATTTCATCAAGAATTCTCAACATTGGAGTTATCAAAACTCCAAGTCCTGTACCACTAGCTCCTTGATCTTCCCCATTACTTTGATGCATTTCAGAAAGTTGAGATTGTACACCACCCTCTGCCAAAGTGTGTAAGAATTCATATATCTGCAGCCTGAAAGGTTCGCCAGATCTAATAGCCATTGTAGTAAGAGCTTGAACTGCGACAATTCGGACCTGTGTATCCATGAAGCATAAACAAACAAGCATTAAAAGCAATAATATTAGCCTACTATTACCATGTAAAGGTAACTACATTGCAACAGACTCCAACTAAGTAGCAAAACGAACAAGGAATTTGACGCACAAAAAAGAATATCACAAGTTCACAACTTATCATCAGTCACTTTGTAAAATATGTTGAAGGTCAATTTTCCACACATTGTTTGACAAATCGATGAAACAGTTCACGAAGTTAGAAACAGAAAGAGAACACATGCCACTACTACTGTTAACTTCCACTAGTTTGTACTAAGGTCTTACAGTTTGTAGTCAAACATATTTACTAATTGTATTATTACTAAAGGATGAAAATAAGAGGATTCAAAACAAAAATTGGAGAGAGTATCCGCATGATTAAACCATATCAAATCAGCCACAAACAGACAAAATTGTACATCATCTGCCCTCATGTTCCTATAGCAGGTCCAAGTTGTAAGAACAGTGTGAGACAATCATGTGGTCTATGCTAGTACTCCATTTGGCTACGGTAAGAATCAACAGAATGCATTTAACAAAAAA